CGGAAGGGAAATAGAGGAGCTGGATGCCATCACACTCTTAGTAATGTAAAACTATAATCTGGCAAGAAATTTGGAGATAATATGCTCGTTGCTTTTCCCATGCCTTACCTGTTTTTGACCAATTTTGCCTGACCAGGTCGAAGTTGGAAAGCTTCTGAACTACGGTTGAAATCTTGGGATGATTTACAGAAGCTATGGTACGTCCTTCTGAAGGAGCAAAACATGTTGATGACTCAACGTCAGATGCTTCATTCTCAAAACTTGAGATTTCCCAATCCCGAGCGCTTGCCCAAAATATGTATCGACTCCTTATTCTCCATTGTTCAGTACAAGTATGAAATTGTACTTTTCTTGGCTGCCTTAACTAAGCAAGCTCCCACAGTTGACGTCAGAGCTAATAAGATTAAGCCGAAATTCGTTTCTCTTGTAGATTTTGTCATTTCGTTCCCCTTTATTTCTCTTTTCGTTTCGACTTTCGATAATGCAGCTACTGGCAATGTAGTCAAAAGCGAGTTTCTACGTGGAAACGTTTTGATGATCTAGAAGCGTAAAATCGTAAGTTTTTAAGTTTTAACGCGGAGTTTTCAACTACATAAGTTATAAACACTGAGATTTTGTGTAGAAGCGTTTTAGTGACCTAGAAACGTAAAATCATAAGATTTTAAGTTTTAAAGCGCGATTTTGACTACATTGGCTACTGGTAGGGAAAAAGGGTATTGGGGAAAAAGGGAAAAAGGGTATTGGGGAGAGTTTTTTTTTCAAAATCAATCTAGAGTTGATATGGTAACTTTATTTTGATAATTTATTCATTATTTTTATATAGGTAGTATTAATTAATTAAGAAGAACTTTTCGATATGATTTTTTTTAATTTGGACATAAATTTTTTATCATTAATTATATGTGACGTCATCAATGACGAAGTGCAATAATTTTTTATCACTAATTATCACTAATTCTATTTATAGAGCTGGAAAAATATGACCGTTGGAAAAATAGCCGTTGAAAATTTGGCGGTTGTAGAATATGGCCATTGGCCAATACCTCCTAAAAATCCAATCATAAAGCCATAAAACAATTTTTAAAATGAAAAAACAACCCCCCCCCCCCCCCCCCCCCCCCCCCCCCCCCCACGTGGTCCCCCTTCCCCTCCTCCTCCCACCCACCTAGCCCCACCTTCCCTTCTTCTTTTAACTTCTTGCATAGGGGAAACCCTCCCCTTATTTCCTCTTTATCCTTTTTTTCCAGCTAATTATCCAACAGAATGGTAAAGTAGGTATATTTCGTTTATTGGTCAAAGATAGAATGGCCAGCTAAGACTTCTCCTATTTATACACTTTCCCAGTTGGCTTGGTTGTTACAAATCCCTCCTCTTCAGAAACAGCTTGTCCTCAAGCTGTCGACTTTAAGGTGGAAAAGTAGGGAATTGCGGCCTGAAACTTGAAAACTCCTCCCATGTGGCTTCCTATGGTGATTGGTGTGCCCACTGTACCAGTACCTGAGTTACAGCTTGGTTCCCCTGGTTGACAAATCTTCAAGCCAGAATCTGTAGGGGAGCTAACTTCAATGACCCATGATCATCAACCTCAGGAAGTTGTAGTGCAGCTGGAGGCACTATAGAACGACATAACTTCAACTGAGACACATGGAACACAGAATGGATCTTTGAACCCTGTGGTAATGCCAGTTTGTAAGCCACGTCGCCCACCCTTGCAAGGACCTGATAAGGATCGAAATATCGAGCTCCCAACTTGTTACCCTGTCGTCCCATTACTGAACCTTGTTGATAAGGTTGTAGCTTGAGGTACACCCAATCAGTAGGATGAAAAACTCTCTTCGATCGATGCTGATCTGCATACTGCTTTTGCCTGTTTTGAGCCCTTGTAATGTTGGTGGTGAGAATTGAGTTAACTTCTGCTACTGCAATACTCTTTCCTCCACAGCTCCCACGGTTGATGTCAAATCCTGTGCTAGCCCAAAAAATGTAGGAGGAAACCCATACAAAGCTTCAAAAGGGGTCATCTGTAAGCTAATATGGAAGTGAGTGTTGTAGCACCACTCTGCAAGGGTAAGCCACAAAGCCCAGTCCTGGGGTATGTGAAATGTCATGGAACGCAAGTAATCCTCCAAGCAACGATTCACCCGTTCTGTTTGGCCATCAGTTTGAGGGTGGTATGCCGTAGAATAGTGAATATCTGTGTTCTGAAGTCTGAAAAACTCAGTCCAAAATTTGCTGGTAAACATCGCGTCTCTGTCACAAACAATAGTCGATGGCATCCCATGGTACTTGAATACATCGTCAAAGAAAACTTGGGCGACATCAGCAGCAGTATAGGGGTGTTTCAACACAAAGAAATGGGTTGTCTTTGTGAATCTGTCGACAACAACCAACAACACCTGCTTACCATGAGATGAGGGCAACCCTTCTACAAAATCTAGACTGATATCTTTCCACACCCTAGTAGGGATGGGAAGTGGTTGTAATAAACCTGGTCAAGCCACTGTTTCAGCCTTGCAACGTTGGCATACTTCGCATTCCAAAACCCACCTCCTAATTGCTGACTTCATTCCAGGCCAGTAGAAGTGAGTCTTCAATCGTTGGTAAGTCACCGGTGCTCCTGAATGACCTCCAACAGGGGAAGAATGGAAAAGATGGATTAGTTTACCTCTCATGAACCCATTTGAGCCCACCACAATGGCTCCCCTGTAACGAAGGATTCCAGCAGAAAAAGACCACAAGGAGGGGCCCTGGGAACTCACTACTGCTGCTGCAATCAAGGTTGCTGTTTCTGAATCATTTTCATAAGTGGACTCGATTTCAACCAACCACTCAGGAAGCACTGAAGTCAAAGCACTGTAGTTTTCCGTCTCCATCTCATCATCAAACACACGAGACAAAACATCAGCAGCTCCATCGTACTTGCCACGCCTGTATTTTATTTGAAAATCCAGACCCATAAGCTTTACCAACCCCCTTCTTTTGTATAATTTTTTGTACTTTTTGTCCCAGCAGAAATTTGAGACTCTCATGATCCGTTAAAATAATAAATTGCCTCCCCTCAAGATAATGTCTCCAATGTTCCATTGCCATCAAAACTGCAAGATACTCCTTTTCATAGGTGCTCAAGCCTTGATTACGAATTCCCAATGCTTTGCTAAGGTAAGCTAAAGGTCGACCTTCTTGGGAGAGAACAACCCTCACTCCTGTACCACAAGCATAAGTTTCTAGCACAAAGGGAAGATGAAAATCGGGAAGGGCCAAAACCGGGGGTTGTACTCATGGAAGATTTGAGGGAAAGGACGGCTTCTTCCGCTGCTGTCGACCACTGAAATCCATTATTTGTTAACAAGGCAGTCAAGGGACGACTAATAATACCGTAATTACGAATGAACTTCCTATAATATCCTGTCAACCCAAGGGAGCCGCGCAACCATTTAACTGAATGAGGTCGTGGCCAATCCAACATAGCTGCTATTTTACCCTTATCAGTAGAAACCCCATCCTTGCTGATCATATGACCCAAATATTCCACCATAGGCTGCCCAAAAGAACATTTCGACTCCTTAGCAAACAACTTGTGTTCCCTGAGTAACTTGAGTGCAGTGGACATATGATGATAGTGCTCTTCCTCAGTTTTACTGTAGACTAGAATATCGTAAAAAAAAAAACAGTATGAACTTGCGCAAATGCTAAGCAAAAACATGGTTCATCAAGGCTTGAAAAGAGGCAGGTGCATTAGTCAAACCAAAGGGCATAACTCTGAATTCATAGTGTCCTTGGTGAGTACGGAATGACGTTTTGAACTGATCCTCTGGATTCATTCGAATCAGATGGTACCCTGCTCTGCGATCCAATTTAGAGAAAAAGACAGCACCATGAAGTTCGTCCAACAAGTCTTCAATATGAGGAATAGGAAATTTATTCTTGATTGTGGCAGCGGTCAATTCTCGATAATCCACACAAAATCTCCACGAGCCATCCTTCTTGCCAATGAGAAGAACTGGAGAGGCATAAGGACTGTGACTATCCTGTATAAACTCGGACAACAGTATCTCTTTAACCAACTTCTCAGCCACCTTCTTCTGATGATGTGGGAAACGGTATGTCTGATATTAATTAGTTTGGTGTTAGGAAGTAAAGGTATAGAATGATCAAAGGCCCTGGAAGGTGGAAGGGAGGTTGGTGTGGCAAAAACATCTGAGAAGGTTGCCAACAAGGGTTGAAGAAAAACTGGGGTTGGAAGGGAAGGTGTGGCAGGAGTGACTTCCATGGAAAATACAGCTCAGTGAAATGTGCAGCTGGTTTAGGAAGGAGTTGTTGAAAGGATCTCCTTGACATCATCTTACATTGTCCATCTTTGGTGAGGCCTTGCAAAGTAAGCACCCGCCCTTTCCAATCAAAGGATAACTGCCGCTTCTTTATATCAACTTGGAAGGGGTTGATTGTCTCTAACCAATCCCATCCTAAGACGAGATCATGAGCTGGCAATTCTAAAGTACGAACATCAAAATCAAAATCCTAACCCTGCATTTTCCAGTTGAACCCCCTGCAACTTCATTACTCAACAATGTATGACCACTCGCTACTTTTACTCTCATGGGAGCTATGATTTCAGTTAGGCAATTCAGTTCAACAGCCTTAAGAGAATTCAGGAATGTATGTGAACTTCCAGTGTCAATAAGCACAGTTACCTCTTGACGACCTGCAGTAGCTGGAATGAGAAGAGAATGCCCAGATAGCCCAGTACCCATCGCTTGAAGGGAAACTTCCAATTCAGCATCTTAATACTCATCATCCCCATCCTCATCTTCTTCTGGAGCAGAAGATGTATCAGCCTGTAGCGAATGTAATTGCTGCTTCCTCTTTGAACAAACGTGGCCGTGGAAGTACTTATCACCGCACTTGTAACAGAGTCCTTGGCCTCGAGGAACGAAATTGCGCTCTGGCTGAGCTTCGCGCTGCGAAAATTTGCTCGAGAATGATGCACTTTGGGAAGTAGATCAGCGAGACACAGGAGCAGAACAGAGCTTGCGTTTCCGCGCTTCAATAGCAGATTCCTCGAGAAGAGCTTGATAGAATGCACAAGCCAAGGTTGGTGGATTGAGGACCTGAACACGAGGCTGAATTTCGTCATTGAGCCCGCCCAAGAAACTAAGAATGAAGTAGTGCTCCTTCAAATCTGGATTCATTCGAAGCATTCGAGAACGAAGTTCGTCGAATTCTTCTTGATAGGTGGAGACTGAACCTTTCTGCCGAAGTTGATCGAAGGCAGCTACGACGTTCAACTGTTCTTGATTCCCAAACCGGCGAAGCAATTCGTCGACGAATTGCCCCCAAATCAGAGGAAAGCGACGGAAAGACCAGCCTTCGAACCAAGTATGAGCCCGCCCTTCCAGGTAGTAAGAAACCAGCTCAACCTTCTGCTCTTCCGGAATCGAATAGAGAAGAAAGAGCTTGGAACATTTGCTAAGCCAAGCATGAGGATCGACGCCCGAAAAATGAGAGAACTCTAAACGAGGATAGTGATCCAGAATCGTCGACCGACTCTGCGACCCGCGAAATTGTTGATGATCGCCGAAATGAGACTGCGAAGGAGGAGATTGAATCGGTGATTTGTCGCGACTCCGACTGAAGGATGCGGCCATGGCGTCGATGTGGTCCTTCGTCGAAGCAGCCATCGCAGCAATGGCGTCCTTCAGCTCTTGGTGTTGAGAAGCCATCTTGAGCTGAACATCCGCCATTTGTGTCTCCAAATCAACGATTCTCGATGTATTAGACGCCATTGTTGCTAGATGACAGGCACTGAATACCACTTGTAAGGTCTGTGATGGGAAGAATATGGCGAAATGGAATGGATTGAAGGAGAAGAAGGAGATATAGAGGAATAAGAGTCGTAACTATCTAGCTAACTATCCAACAGAATGGTAAAGTAGGTATATTTCGTTTATTGGTCAAAGATAGAATGGCCAGCTAAGACTTCTCCTATTTATACACTTTGCCAGCTGGCTTGGTTGTTACACTACTGCACTGCAGGAGTTTCTTGGTGAATTGTTCAGAGCAAAGCTCTGCATCCTTTCAAGTTGTAAACGTAGGAGCTTGTTGTTATGTTTCTGCCCAGAATTAAGTTCACAAGACAATAATTATGAGTTCTCGTCCTACTGAACTGAAGATGGCCACGACATTCATTTGTCCTAAGAGGTTCTTTTGGGTTTTTTCAGCCCCCCAATCTGGGTGTTGTATGACTCTAGTTGTATTCTCTGCCATTCAACCGACTCGAATAATCACAAGGAGGTAGAAATAGGAATTTATTTATTGTGATCCCTGGCTCTTGCACCAATCCAAACCCCTACAACTCGTGTAGGTTTTACAACGAATTATCTCAAATTCAAACAGTCTCCCCGGGCCTAGCTGCGCCCAATGACGAATAGCCCACAATTATGAGGCCCAAAACTACCGATCCAACGCGGCGGAGTCAACAGCGAGCGGCCCGCAATCCACCTCCTCCTCCTGGCCCACGTGATCAACATCAACGGCGCCATTGCCATAACAATCGCCGTCATCCTCCTCAACGACATCACCGCCGCAGATCTGATCGAGAACCAGCACCAATCCCATGGCGAACGCCCCGTCGAACCCGGGCTTCACCGCCAGCGAGAACACGTCCTTCCCCAGCACCGTGTTCGTCGACGCGTCAACCTTCCGCCGGATCTCCGCCACCACCGCTCTCCTCGCCGCGTCTATTACGTTGCAGCTCCGGCTCCCGTAGCTCCCTTCGATCTCGTACTCCTCCCCTGGGTTTTCGTACACCTGCACGCTCATCCCTGACCGTCCGATTATAGAAGACCGCCTCACGCTGAACATCGCCTTCTGCCCTTCCTTCCTCTCCCCCAGGAATCCTTCCCACCGCTGATGCAGACTCGGCCTCTGGGAAGCAAAAAAAACAGTGGGGGAAAAAATTGATTCGGAAGGTTCTGACTCGGTAGTGAGATACTGAGGGCGTGTATTGTATTGTTCTTGCTAATTGGGTTACCTTCTTCCGGACAGTGAGTAAGCAGCGGCCGTGGGGATCCATGAGGACGAGCTCGTCTCTGTCCCGGGCGTCGGGCTCGTACGAGTCGACCCGGAAGACCAACTCGCCGTTGCTGCAGTCGTACACGGTGAATCCGTCATTGGCGTAGAACAGCGAGGTTTTGAAAACGGTGTAATGCTTCTCTTCCCGACTCACGAATCCCCCATCGACAACGATTCCTGTGTTTATTTGCTTCATTTTGGTTCGAGATCGGAGCAATTGGGGTTCCTAAATTGAACGGGGGCGGCCGAGATGTATAGAAAGAGAGAGAAGGAAGGAAGGAATGAGTGCGGATGGAGATTTGAAGAAGACTGTGGCAGCTTCAACACACGGTCACTGTTAATTATAGTGCTACTAATCTTCTTCCTCGCCCTCTTGGAATGGCGACTGGGGACATGGCAGCGAAAAAGCAATTATGGAAATGGTGGGACAGAGAGATGGGACGGTGGTGGTGCAACTCGAATACTTGCGACTCGTCGCCGGGTTTTGACCGACTCAGTGGGGGTTTTTTGGTTGGTCGAGAAGGAAAGGAAGCAAAGGATTCCGGAGATCTTTTTTTGTTCCTTCTTTTCTTTGTTTTGAGGCGTTTGCTTCCTGGTTCAGGACAAGCGAGGGCTACAGTACCGGTGCGGCACCGGTACTTGGGAAAGTAAGTTGCACCCTTTGATCTTTGCTTAAATCATCTAGACAAAATAAACGTGTATAGTCAAAATTTTGACGGTTTTACCAAATATAATTATTTTTGGCTAAATACAAAAAGTAGCCACTTCCAACTAATTCTTTGACGGTGTTAACCAAATTACTGACTGGACTAACGAAGTGGTTGAATTGGCGACAATTAATCAATTAAAATATGAGGTGGAAAATAAATATAAATTAATTACTTTTTTTTTTCACTCTCCCATTTCTCTTACTTAGGGATGGCAATGGGTCGGGTTTTGCCAAACCTAAATCCAAACCCATGGGTTTATCCGTGAAAAAAACTCGGGGTAAAACTCACTGGGTTTGAAAAACTCAAACCCAACCCAACCCGCTGGGTATCCGCGGGTTCATGGGTACCCGCGGGTTTTTGTCGTAAAAAATTACAATAACAAGTTCCTATCAAAATTAAAACCAAATATCAATCTCTCAATACAAATTATTCATATATAAAACACCATTCTAGAAATTCAAGCAAATCACAAATTAACTATACAAATTGTTCAACACCAATCTAGAAAACTCAAGAAAATTGAAGCAAATCATAAATTATCCATAAATAACATGATTAATTGAAAACTTCTTCCTTTCAATTAAGTTTCTTCACTCTCCACTCGATAACATCAACTTCGTTCTACACAATTAGAAAGAAAAATTAGACATGTCTCCACAAACATAAATAAGATTAGTTGTTTAGAATATTAAATATACCGAGAAAATTAATTATATGAGTGTGGGCGGGTACCCATGGGTCGGGTTTACCTAAACCCAAACCCAACCCGATGAATATTGAACGGGTTTAAACCCAAACCCGGCCCAAAACCCGTCAACACGGATTTTACCCGCGTTGACCGGGTTGTGTCGGGTGGGTACCCGTGGGTTCGGGTTTTGTTGCCATCCCTACTCTTACTTTCCCTTTCCCAACCTATGAGATTTCCCCTTCTTGCGTTTTATTTTCCTCAACGCAATAAATCACTCCCTCTCCCCTCGCGATTCAATCACTCTCTCAATTTAGGGATTTTCCTTTTCCAGTTTCCCTCCCTTTCCTCTACCGATTGATTATCACAATGTGAGGAGGCGCAACCATGAGAACAGTAGCCAAGGTCGTCGGTATCAACGTCGTCAACAACGAATTCCACGGCGCCGCCGGAGCTCGGGGAGAGCTAGGAGAAGGGTGCGGACAGAGCAAAGAGAAATAAAGAGGGATCGAGAAACCTCTTGGGAACCCAACATTGAAAACCCAGGTCGATTCACTTATGATGTATGGGGCTGTTCAAGATCTGTGAAACAAGAAGCGGCTAGCAATGACGGCGGAAGGCATATAAGAGGAAGGTGATTCGTCGAAGAACAAGAACCAGAGAAGAAATATCAGATATGGACAAGCAGGGTTCGTTGGTCAATCAATGGGAGATGCTGGATTTGATTCTCGAAAGGAAAGGGGGCATGGAGTTAGATTGGAGAAGATGAAGAAGGGGATTAAGAGACGGAGAGTTCATCTTCTTTTTTTGTTTGTTTATTTATGTAATTAATAATAATAAAAAGATAAACATTTTCAACTGGAATATTTTGACGATTTTTTTCTTACTTTTCTAAATGACGTGTCGTCCAGCTGTCAGTGAATGCTGAAGTGGAAAAGAAAGAGAAGGTGAGTTGGCAGCCAGATCATCATTCCGTTACTTTGACTAACGGTGTCACTGACGCCATTAAACTATGTAACGGAAATGACTATTATTGTCGTCAAACTTTTAAATTTTTGAATATTATTGGTATTTACTCAAAATTGATTATTATTGTCACAAAACGTTAAAGTTTTGGCTACACAGATGAATTTTGCCAATCATCCATGCTCGTTTATGAGATAGAGTATCCAGTTCAGTTCATCTCTTAGCCCGACGCCGGTTAAATCAGCTGCCTTGATTTATCGGGTTTAAAATATCTGATGAAATCGAGAAAGCTGACGACAGGGAAATCGACCGCTGTCTTCGGCTACCGCGCCATCGACTGAAATTCCACCACCGTTACAGGTACCGTTCCGGTATCAGCGAAGAATTGCCGCTCAGTACAATTCCCAATGGGGTCGGATACTATGCTAACCCTTAAAGGGGTAGTGATTTTCGACACCCTCCTTTTGATTGGTCAGTTTTATAGTTAATTATTAGACAAGTATTAATGGCTGTCCCAAATAAATATGGATGGAGAAAGGATTAACTGTCATATTAATTATGCACGGGAAGGGGGCAATTTAGCTGGATCCCTGGATGGAAATTGTGGCGTTTCTACTCCCTTTCCCTTTGTTTCTATTTCCCCCCTCCCTCCTCTGCTATTTCCCCTTGTTTCTTTCCATTGTCGTGGAGAACCATAGCTCTGGTTCATCACTACACGGTTGGCGGATATCCCCGCCGCCCTTACAACAAGTCCAACCATCCATGTCGTCGGTCGTCTGCCGTCCTCCGTCTTCCATCTCAAACATCACCTTCCAACAACTTCCTCTTATCCACGGCATGCGCTTGATCTTTTCCTGTTGACCACCGTCCTTCCACGGTAGAGATTCGATCAACCCTAAGTGGCGGCGACAGAATCTGAAGGTGAGGGTGGTACCACTAGGCGGCAGAGGAAACACACCAATGGACTGGTACATGTACCAGTGGAGTGGTACGTGTACCAGTGGAGTTTGGAATACATCGTCATGAAAATATTGTGGTCTCCACCACTTTTGAAGTTTGAAATTGATTTTATTATTTTTCTTTTGTCGTAATTATTGGTTAACTTCTTTCAATGTCATTGAAATATCTTTGCCGACGAGTAATGAATAGAAATGGTCTTCGCACAACTTCAGCGGTAATCATACTACTTCAGTGGTACATATATACCACTGAACTTGTACTATACCACTAGACTGGTATACATATCAATTAACTGATACTTATACCACTGAACTGATACTAATTAAGACTGTCCTCAATATACCAATACTCATACTTACTTGATCATGAAATATAATTCTGGCACAAGCAACACAATAAACATTTAAATCAGTCAACAAAATAGGAACTTTCCATTAGTAGCCAAAAGTTGTGTTCCAAAATGGGTTGCAAAATCAGGGAAATGCCAACAACAATGCCAAAAGCAATAAATTATCCTTCGAATGTGAATAAACATAAAGTCTTCACAAAAATTTTTAAGCCTAAACAGGACATATGATTACTAGTACCACTCCACTGGTACATGTACCATTCCACTGGTACACGTACCACTCCACTGGTACACGTACCACTCAATTGGTGCGTTTCCTCTGCCGCCTAGTGGTACCACCCTCACCTTCAGATTCTATCGCCGCTTTCACCACTGTTCAAACTCTCCACTTTCACTCCACTGGTACATGTACCACTCCACTGGTACACGTACCACTCCCCTAGTATCACTCCACTGGTACACGTACCACTCCACTGGTACATGTACCAGTCCATTGGTGCGTTTCCTCTGCCGCCTAGTGGTACCACCCTCACCTTCAGATTATGTCGCCGCCACTTAGGGTTGATCGAATCTCTACCGTGGAAGGACGATGGTCAACAGGAAAAGATCAAGCGCAGGCCGTGGATAAGAGGAAGTCGTTGGAAGGTGATGTTTGGGATGGAAGACGGAGGACGGCAGACGGCCGACGACATGGATGGTTGGACCTGTTGTAAGGGCAGCGGGGACCACTTCCGACTGGAGGGATTGGACGACCTCTTTATGTGAAGGAGATGATGATTTACGGCGGGGGTAGTGATTAGATGAGTCGGCGGCGAAGGTTTGCGGGAGGGTTCTGAACAGAGAGAGATATAGAAGGAAAATGAGTCGGCGGCGAAGGTTGCGGTACTGATTAGATGAGTCGGCGGCGAAGGGTTGCGGGAGGTTTCTGAACACAGAGAGATATAGAAGGAAAATGAAACGGTGAAATTGAAAAAAGGTAAGAGGGAATCTCTTTACATTAAGAGTGGGGGAACCAACGGTTTGCTTATTCCTCTTTTCCGATGTAATTAATTAGTGCTTACAATGACCATTAGAATAAGCTAGCTAAAATGGACGGTAATGACACTGGGTGTCAAAAATCAGACCCCTTTAGGGGTAGTCACGCTAACCGCTACCATTCCCAATCAGCGGCTCTTGGGTAGTCGGTACTCGAATACCAGCTGCCCGATAAAAATTTCTCTCCTGAAAGAGCTCAGAAATCCTGATTCTGATTGTATTAATTATGAGTATTTATACATTAAGAGACGGGTAAATACAATATATTAGCCACAACTATTATGAAGCGGGGAATTATAGCTACAACTACTGAAATTCAAATTATTAGCCAAACGTTAACTATCTATTAACAATTTCGTTAGTAATACTGACTAAACTTTTATGTTTTGAAGTTATAAACTAAAAGCATTCCTATGTGGCCGCTGTCGTGGCCGATGACGTGGCATTCTCCGTCAAAAATTCAATAACAGTAACAGACAGTTAGCCATATCTTGACCTGCAACAATAGTTATGGTTTTGTGGCTAATATATTGTATTAACCCTTAAGAGACTGAAACTGAAAGCTATTCCTTCCTACGCAGGGGAGAAACTGTTGGAAATGAATGTATATGAATAGCTTTGAAAGCTATAGAGTCTCTAGTGGAAAAAACTACCACATTGGTAGTTTTACTTGGTGAAATGTGTATAAAGATAGGAGCCTCTCTCCCAAGGGCATGCCCCTTGGGGTGACCCACTTTTGTGGGAGATGGAGGACCTAATGGACCACCACACACACGCGCGCGCGCCGTCCGTCCGTCCGACCGGTTGGTTGGTTGGTTCACTTGAGACTATATATATATTTTTGGAGAAATTCCGAACGAAATTAATTATTTAATAATT